CAATGGGTTGTAAAGATTAATATCCTCATTCTTCCTTGCATAAATTAATTATCCAAAACTGACAGGCTGTTACCAATTCTCTGTTCTTAGAAAGTATAATAATTTATACCATTTAGTAATTGCAATGACATTTCTAATACAGTTCACTAAGTCTTTCTTTCTTCTATAAGAAGACCTTCATTTAAACTGGCTAGTTGCAATCAGACCTCTCTTTCACTTGTAAAGATCTGATTTCATCAATTTTTTTTTACTGTAGTCCTAGTTTTCCTTTGAGCACAGTATCACATACAGATAAATAGCAAGAATAAACCACAACTGAAACAAACAAAAAATATTTCATGAGGATAGGTGAATCTGAAAAGGAAAGATCAATACACTTACAAATGTAAGAACAGCATTATTTGCACTTTAAAAAAACCCAAAAAAACAACCAACAAAAAACAAACCACAAACCCAAAATTTTCAAATGCTCACAATTCACCGGTTCTGATTTGCCACAGAATTCTCCTTCCCCTAGTGCTACATCAGAGAAGTACATGATTCACAACAGGAGAGACGCAGTTTTGCTGTGTGCATGTTTTGTTTCACATGTGCCTTGTGAAGAGTCACAAGATCTTTTCATGTGGAGCTCAGTTCCCTTATTCAGCTTATTTTAAGGACAAAAACATCCTGAATTCAATAAACATAGGAAATATTCCATTTGCTACTGAGCTCTGCACAAAAATTTGTGGTGACAAGAGTTACACTGTATTTTAAAAATGTTCATAATAGAAACACAGATAAGACTACTTAATTTGCCCTCCAAATGATCCCCCATCATTTTATAGAATGACTTGCCATCCAATGCTCAGGTGACACTGTGAAAAGGGCTACATAATCTATCTTTTCACCTCAGTCTTCACCAGCAAGTGCTCCAGTCATGCTGCCCAAGTCACAGAAGGCAACAGCAGAAACTGGAAGAATGAAGAACTGCCTGCTGTAGATCAGGTTTGTAAACATCTAAACATTAAGTTCATGCACAAGTCCATGGGACCTGACAGGAAGCATCTGCAGGTCCTGAGGGAATGGACAGATGAAGTAGCTAAGCTGCTATCCATTGTATTTGAGAAGTCATGGCAGTCTGGTAAAGTTCCTGCTGACTGGAAGAGGGGAAACATAACTCCCATTTTCATGAAGGGAAAAAGACCCAGGGAACTACAAGCCAGTCAGTCTCACCTTAGTGCCTCACAAAATCATGAAGCAGATCCTCTTGGAAACCATGCTAAGGCACATTAAAAATAAGGTGCTTGGTGACAGCCCGCATGGCTTCACTAAGCGCAAATCATGCCTGACAATTTAGCGGCCTTCTGAGGCAGGTTGAAAGTGTGTATGAATAAGTGCAGTACAACTGACATCATCTGCCTGGACCAGAGCAAAACACCTGACACCACACAACATCCCTGTCTCAAAACTGGAGAGGCCTGGATTTTATGGATGGACCACTCAGTGGATAAAGATTTGGCTGGATGGTCACACTCAAGAATTTGTGGACAACAGCTTGATGTGCAAGTAGAGACCAGTGGTAAGTGGCATCTCTCAAGGGTCAGTGTTGGGACCAATCCTTTCTCAATGACATGGACAGTGCAACTGAGTGCATTCTCAGCAAGTATGCCACCTACAGCACGCTGAGAGGTGAGGTCAACATGCTTCAGGGATGCCATCAGAAGAACCCTGACAGGCTCGAGATGGGACTGCGTAAATGTCATGAAGTTCAACAAGGCCAAGTACAAGGTCCTACACCCAGGCCAGGACAATCCCAAGCACAAACATAGACTGGGCGGAGAATGGATTGATAGCAGCCCTGAGGAGAAGGGCTTGGGGGTGTTGGTTGATTAGAAGCTCAACATGAGCCAGGAGTGTGCACTCACAGCCCAGAAAGCCAACCATATGCTGGGCTGCATCAGAAGACTGTGATGAGCAGGTCTCTCATGAGACCCTACCTGAAGTACTGCATTCAGCTCTGGGGCCACTGACAAGAGAGGAACGTGAATCTATTCAAGCATCATGAAGATCAGAATGGTGGAGCACCTGTCCTCTGAACACAGGCTGAGAGCTGGGCTTGCTCAGCCTGAAGAAGGCTCCAGGGAGATGTTATAGCAGCCTTCCAGTACCTAAAGGGATACTACAAGAAATCTGGAAAACGATTTCTTACATGCAGTTATAGGACAAGGGGGAACCGCATTAGACTGACAGAGGGGAGATTTAGTTCAAATATAAGGAACAAGTTCTTTACTCTGAGGGTGGTGAGACACTAGAACAAGTTGCCCAGAGCAGCTGTGGCTGTCCCATCCCTGGAAGTGTTCAAGGCCAGGTTGGATGGGGCTTTGAGCAACCTGGTCTAGTGGCAGGTATCCCCACCTGTGGCCAGGGGGGTTGGTACTGGATGATCCTGAAGGTCCCTTCCAAACCATTCTATGATTAATGTAAACCACAAAATACATATTCCCAACTCTTAAGAAGTTTGGGAACTCTCTTTCTGCCAGATAAATTTTGTATCAGGTAGAGAACTCTGATCTACCAATCAGAAATGCATTTTAAAATAAACTTTCAAGTAGATAATTCTGGTTTATGATTTAGAATTTTGAATCACCTGAATTATTAGGGAAAGCATGTTTACCATATTTATTTAAAAAGTGTACTGTTTTCCAAAGCAATTTTAACACTACAGGACTAATCACTACTCTCACCAACCTGGAAAATGCAGTCAGGGCTGCATCCTCAGCCATTCAACTCCAATGTGAGTATCAGACACTGAGACAACACAGTACCAATTTTGAATGAAGTATGTTATTTAAAACCAGCTCTTCCCCAGTATGTCTATCCTGCCATGTGGTATAGAATATTATTTTCTGTAGAAAAAACAGATTCATTATACATCCATTCCTTTCATCTCAAAGATGATGACAAAAACTCAGTATGCATTATTCTTCCTGATTACCAAGGTATTTCTGAAAAAGTTAGATACCATCTTCCATTATACATTTAACTTTTCTATTTAAATAGAGCTACGCATGAATTTTCTGCTCCCTCAGAACATAGGAATGGTGCTATAACATTGAGGAGTAGACAAAGAGTTGCATGTAATACTCCTTGCAATTAGCCTTAATAATTACTGCTTTGTACCTGAACTAATAAAAACCCCGAAGTATCTTCTCAAAGCAAGAAAGTTATACAGCCACAGGGAAATCTCTACTCACGTCACACACTTAAGAACAAGCATGACACTGAAAGTTAAACAAATTAAATTCGCATGTGCCAAAAGGTTCTACCATACAGTAGATGCTCTACACATGGTTTAGAGCAAATATATGAATGATTACATTTTGACCTCATGATAGGTAGACCTACACATCACTGCTACTTAGTTGAAGTTTCTGCTTTACTTATGGTGAAATACTGTCAATCATTCACTTGTGCTTAATCAAAGAATATAAAGTAGATCAAAAATCCAGGCGTCTACTATGAAAAGAGCAGCTGTCCAATGACAGATTCCACACACCACACACCACCACCCCCCAGTTATTACTGGAATGTATAATTTTATTCTTCAAGTCAAGGAAACTTTGAAAAATATCTGTAATATGTCATTTAAATGAATCATAGTTGTAAAGTCAGAAAGAAACATTTAGCTCAGTGAATTTTAAAACTCAGGGGACTTCACAGTAGAAGATAATTCACTTCCACTACAGCCTATCTTACACAGAGAAAATTAACCTCTGGCAATTTTTTCCTACATTAAGATGCTGAGATATACTTAGGAGAGTAACTCAATACACTTGCACTAATTACAATAAATTATTCTACATTCAGACCTAAATCACTTGCTAGGTATATGTCCTGGCAGCTGTAAAGAAAGGAGAACTTTCGTGCTTACAATTTTTGTACTGTAATATCCATATTTTGATCACTGGGGACTCCAGTCCAGCAGATTCTAGTTACCACAGTAAGGTGGCATTTTGAAGATATGCAAGTAACCTTTAGAACAATGATATACCCAAGCTAAATCCCCCTCTAGATAAGATGTCAACCTCATGTTTAGTAACCAAAGAATAATTTGGGTAAATTAACCTAGTTCTAACTTGATTTTTAATGGTTTCACAGTACTGACATTTGTAGACCCATTCATGTTCTAGATTGCTGCATAAACCAAGTAATCTTAACAAATGAAATTAAGTGCAAAAGACATGCCCAGATTAAAATGGGCAAAGCAGGACTCACTAGCCACCAGGAAACACAAAAGTTGAACTACATTTAATGATGCCCATGGCAGGGGGGTTGGAACTTGATGATCTTGGGGTCCTTTCCAACTATTCTATGATGAGACAAAATTTTCTTCCTGTTTAGGTTACAAAAGTCAAAAACATAGAATTGGGATCTTTGAACTGCAAGAAACAAATGTTTCCTATCTTCGACTTAAATGTTGAAAACACTGCTTCAGAAAGTACAATATACTGCTACGAAAGGTCTCTTCAGTGAGAAGACTGAAAAGTACATTTTGCTTGGCGAGTATTTGCAACAGTGAAAATTTGGGAAATGCTACAGTGCATCCCACAGAAACTGGAACACAGGATATCATGAGAATCTCCTAGTTTATGTATATGCACACTGATACACACTTCCTTTTCCAGAAGGAGACTACTCACAGCTGCAGAGAGGACTTTGAAACTTAAAAGCCAAATGAAACTTTGAGGATGGATAAATGTATACCCACTGTAACATACGTGTTCTGCTTCATGCACCTAGTTTGCTCCAATAACTGCTAGCTGGGTCCACACTGTGCACAATATAAATATAAATATAAATATAAATATAAATATAAATATAAACTGCTTGAACATCTTAAACAGAAGCAACAGCTTCACAAAACCTTACACAATCTAAGCTTCCATTGGTTTCCTGTGGAAACATTACAAGTTTTTAAAGCACATAAAAGAAGAATCAGATTCTGAAAATTATCATACCTGATACAGCAAGAAAATCATCAATACTTGTTATATCATCCACAGCTTCAGTAAGGACATGGATGTGATTCTCCCATGTACTCCTATACATCTCCATATTGTTTTTCACAACTTGACTTTTTGGTCTGGCAGCAAGAGCTAAAGCAGCATTAATAACCTGTACCAAAAATAAAGACAAAATTCAACATCAAAATAATTATGTCTTCAGAAATAAAATCTAATGTTTTACTTAAAACTGCAGAATGGTATTTCTGTTCTATAAGCAAAAGCAATGTTCAGTTTTTGTTTCTGTTCTCAGCAGGACTATCAGGCAGATGTTGCTTAGGCCATCTTCCATAAGCTTTTTAACTTACAAAGCTAAAAAGGAACATGATAGCAAAAACCCCAACTTTTATTTTTAGTTGGAGAATTTGTACTATTCCAGTTTGCGACATATTAATACAAGGAGGTTTTTACTTTCACGAACTTAAAGCACACACTGGTATGACGTACATCAGTTTTGAATTTAAACTCTTTTAGGAACTGTTGTCACAGAGCTTATAATGGAGTATCTTCACTGACAGAGGTATTATCAACCTCTCATAATGATAGAGGTAAGTTTTGGCAGGACAACAGGTATCTTTTTCAGGATCAGTGGCATGGGACATAACTCATACTACATTTATATAAAACCACAGACTGGTATTTCTATACCAGTTAGGCCTAAAAATAGTAACTAAGTTCACATGAATAGGGTAGATCCCATCTCTCCCTGGAAAGACTAATTAAAAATAGAAATATTGGATCCTAAAGTGATTACTTCTCTAGATACCTCTTCAATCAATTAATTAGCTAGAGGATTTTCTTCCTAACATAGCTTTTTGTTGATGTTTTACCTATAAATGTTATTTAAATTAATCTAATACATAATCCAGGCAGAACTGAACATTAGCCTTATATCAATCTTTTTTCCCCTTCCCAATATTGCTTACTTATCAAGGGTAAAATTGTTTTAAGACAACAAAACACCATGTGAAGCAAAAAATGAGAAATATAAAACCAAAATGCCACACTAATCCCCAGTGCTGACAGTATACATTCCTGAAATGTTCTAGTACATCATGCCACTGTAACCAAGTCATATTTCTAACTCTAAGCCCATCTGATGTGTCTTTTACAATAAAATCAATCCTCTTGACCCTGCTCTAGCTCATAAGCTAAATCTCTAATCAGTTTGGTTTGTATTTTTATGTAGCCAGTCAGAAGCCCCAGCATCTCAGAATTACTACTGAATTAGCAGCAATATCCACTGCAAAACCTTCTTATTCTGACAAAACATCCGCAAAGTTATGCAGAAAACCACAAAATGCACTGAATAAAGCAGATGTGGCCATTTTCCAGATTACATACCTAAATTATTTCATTCATTAGACTTTCAGCTTTTTGTCAATGAATTCTGCCTTCACATATACAGCACAGAACCATGTAGCTACCTTAAAGACTGTGCTATCAGACTACCTGTATTTGAAAAAGAATTTAAAATTTTAGTAAAGAACCAAAGTAAAGAATCATGTTAATTCTAATTAAAAGCAGAAAGTATATGCTACAGGAGAAAAACTGCTGAACAGATGATCAATTAACAGTTTGAAATTATTGTGTCTGATCAGTGTTAAAAAAAAAAAAAAGGCTACAAGACTTCTACAAAATATAAAAATAAAATACTAACCAAAAGCACCTCAAAATCCACCACCAGCTGCTATGGTTTCAGCAGTTCGCCTATGAAACGGTTTTTTTGAAAGTTCAGTTCATCTCACCAGCCATATAGCATGCACGTAAGCAAGTCTAAATGCTCATTTAAAAGAAGTCTGATTTCATGCAGTATCCTTAAAACTAAGCCATTGACTTTTAAAATAGCAGATGTTACAAGCAGGTGAAAGAATACAGCTCTAACCAGGGCCTAGTAAGGACTTGGAAATAACTATCCTTTTTCCTTTCTGATTATAATTTTGTTTGTGCTATACACAGAGTTCTGCATAGTTTTCAGGCATCCTTTCAAAAAAGACCCTTCCTTTATTTTGTCCATACTCCAGATCTACAAAATCTGTAGCAAAAGCATTTAGCAGCTGTATCAACTGGCAGCAGATCTGTCTTAATGGTGCATGATTCTACCACTAAAAGCAGGCTCATGTAACAACCACTATCCCGGGGCTCCCCCCCCCCCCCATGTTTTTAATGTCAGGAAACATATATGGTTAAGAAATTGAATGTACAAGAGGTGCCTTATAATTTAATTTGTAAATAAAATTCTCTCCTCCAATAAAATGCAGGAAAGAATCATAGCAATAACTTCCAGGGGGATTGGAAGAGTAGCTCTCGCAAATGAATGCTGAGTGCAGCCTGCTAAGTTTAGACTGCTGATTTTAGCACTGCTAAAATCATGCATCATTTCTAACATCTGAAAAATAGTACTAGCATAGCAATGCTGACACAGATGAAAAGGTACATCATTTACACCTTACCAAAATGTAGAAAATAAAAAATGAGTCACCAGGGACTTTGAAGCCCTATTCAGACACCAAAGGTGCCTATTCCCTAGGCATAGGCAAAGCACCATAATAAACCTTCTGCCTACATCCCCCCACACGCTACTTATTTGGAGCAACACTTTGGAAACATGGGGTCTTTTCCTGCATACATTTATTTATGCTTGGATAGCCAATTGCTCCTGGCTTTTCAAATAAGTCAATAGACTACTCAAGCAGCTGCAGGCTTAAATTTCCATTCACATACATTGCTCCTACTGAAGGCTCTCTGCAAGTACAGACTTTTTTCTTTTTTTTCTTTTAAGAATTAAAGAACGGAAATTAAGAGCATATTGGGGTAGATTGTTATTAAGGTAAGTGTTCAGCATTTTCCTCTAAGTACTACCTTTGGCACTGAACTTTCAAATCATAGAATCATAGAATCATAGAATAGTTAGGGTTGGAAAGGACCTTCAGATCATCAAGTTCCAACCCCCATGCCATGGGCAGGGACACCTCGCTCTAAACCATACCACCCAAGGCCTCGTCCAACCTGGCCTTGAACACTACCAGGGATGAAGCATTCATAACCTCCCTGGACAGCCTATTCCAGTGCCTCACCACCCTTACAGTAAAGAATTTCTTCCTTATATCCAATCTAAACTTCCCCTGTTTAAGTTTTAACCCATTACCCCTTGTCCTATCACTACAATCCCTAATGAAGAGTCCATCCCCAGCATCCCTATAGGCCCCCTTCAGATACTGGAAGGCTGCTATGAGGTCTCCACACAGCCTTCTCCAGGCTGAACAGCCCCAACTTTCTCAGCCTATCTTCATATGGGAGGTGCTCCAGTCCCCTGATCATCCTCGTGGCCCTTCTCTGGACTTGTTCCAACAGTTCCATGTCCTTTTTATGTTGAGGACACCAGAACTGTACACAATACTCCAGGTGAGGTCTCACGAGAGCAGAATAAAGGGGCAGGATCACCTCCTTTGACCTGCTGGTCACGCTCCTTTTGATGCAACCCAGGATACGGTTGGCTTTCTGGGCTGCAAGCACACACTGCCGACTCATGTTCATTTTCTCATCGACCAGCACCCCCAAGTCCTTCTCTGCAGGGCTGCTCTGAATCTCTTCTCTGCCCAGCCTGTAGCTGTGTCTGGGATTGCTCTGACCCAGGTGTAGGACCTTGCACTTGGCATGGTTAAACTTCATGAGGTTGGCATCAGCCCACCTCACAAGCGTGTCAAGGTCCCTCTGGATGGCATTCCTTCCCTCCAGCATATCAACTGAACCACACAGCTTGGTGTCATCGGCAAACTTGCTGAGGGCGCACTCAATCCCACTGTCCATGTCAGCGATGAAGATGTTAAACAAGACCAGTCCAAACACCGATCCCTGAGGGACACCACTCGTAACTGGTCTCCAGCCGGACACTGGGCCATTGACCACAACTCTTTGTGTGCTGCCATGCAGCCAGTTCTTTATCCACCAAGTGGTCCATTCAATCAAATTGATGTCTCTCCAATTTAGAGACAAGAATGTCGTTTTAATAAATTCTTCAAAGTAGGCAATGACACGCTATGCTAAAGTCAGTCTTAACTGACTTCCAAGTTTACCAGTTATACAAACTACTTGTTTATTAAATGACTAAAATTCCATATATGCAATTGTAAGCAGTTTATGAACTAGGCTTTACATCATCATTTTATTTATAAAATCATAGAATCATAGAATAGTTAGGGTTGGAAAGGACCTTAAGATCATCTAGTTCCACCCCCCCTGCTACGGGCAGGGACACCTCACACTAAACCATGTCACCCAAGGCGTCGTCCAACCTGGCCTTGAACACTGCCAGGGATGGAGCATTCACAACCTCCCTCAGCAACCCATTCCAGTGCCTCACCATCCTTACAGTAAAGAACTTCTTCATTATATCCAACCTGAACTCCCCCTGAATTTCACCTGACTGCCATGATTTTTCAAATATGATGGCCAGTGGCTTAGCAACTTCATTCGTCAGCTCCTTCAGGACCCGCGGATGGGTTTCATCAGGTCCCATGGACTTGTGCACGTTCAGGTTTTTAAGATGGTCTCAAACCAGATCCTCTCCTACAGTGAGCCCAAGGTCTTAATTCTCACGGTCCCTGCATCTGCCTTCCAAGACTTGGGTGGTGCAGTCAGAGCCTTTGCCAGTGAAGACATCCAGTGAAGAGTCAAAGAAGTCATTCAGAACCCCAGCCTTCTCCAAATCCCGGGTTGCCAGTTCTCCCACTACCTTCTGGAGGGGGCTACATTGTCCCTAGTCTGTTTTTTATTCATTACGTACTTACAGAATCCCTTCCTGTTATCCTTAACATCTCTAGCCAAGTTTAATTCTAACTTTAATTCTAATTTTTGTTACCACATTTCTCAGTACTTCTGGTGATGGAGTCCACTGCTTGAGATTTCTATTGGATTTTTGGAGAGAAAGCGCTTCAGCGGTAGGATAAAACCTAAGTTTTTATTAGCTAAAATAACTTTATTTCCAATCTGTAAGGAACTGCAGAATGTGGCTACTCTGACACATGCACAAATGAACACAGAAACTAAAGTACGAAAGGGCCTACACTAATACCCTTTCCTTCACTTTTATCCCCTTTAAAACAGACTGAG